AGGTAATCTCCTAGTTAGGTTGCAGGTATGGCGGCTAGTGTAGAACCCAGACGGACTACTTAAATTAGGTACCAAAAAGTACATGTGTGGCTAGTTGTATCCTCGTGAAATTGATATAATATCGTAATTACCTAAATAAAGCTAAGTGCCGGGGACCTAAGTGGTCACCTTAATATTAAAAAAAAAAAAATAAAACATAAATAATGAGTATCTATAGGCAGTGTTGTATATAGAATATATCCATACTATATAAAATATCTAATATCCAAGATTGTTTAAAATTGTTCAAGCTTATGTTCTAAGTTTAAATAATAAAGTAATTTAAAAAAATATATAATTATATATTTTATAGGAAATTATAGGTATCTCTCACAGAAGATATATCTCTCACAAGAGATACATCTTCCGTATATATATTAACCAATTAGAGTGTGCCATAGAATATGATTAACTAGATAAATATGAGATGGCCAAAATTAACTGATCAACAGTAAATTTACCCCAACTCTAATTTTATATCAAGTTTTTGTTAGTTGAAGTAGTATACTAATCCGCCCAATTTCTTTACTGGTAACTGTATATATCTTATTGCTATAAATATTAACAATTAAACAATGATAATGATAACAACAAAGCATACAGAAGGTTTTCACATATATATGTATATACATATGTACATAATGTTAGTACTAATATAGTTTTTTTTATAGTTTATAAGAGCCAATTATAGTTTTTTCTTGTTGCAAGCGTATTTAATATTCTTGTCTTTATATTCATATAAATAGATTGATTTACTTTGATTAGCACCGGTAAGAACAAATCTCCAACTAAGGTTTTTCTAATACTGTAATATAATCTAGTTTAATTTTTGTTGATACTATAATATCAAGGTCATCATTTTTTTTTTAAAGATTTATATAAACTGCACCAGCTGGGTATAAAAAACTATTTATATTTGTGGTCTACAAAGGTTTGTAGGATTTTTAATAAGTAGGTAATATATACATTTTAGATTTTGTCAACCAAATTTGCATAATAAAAAACTTGTGAAATTTACCAACTTTATTCATAAAATAGAAGCGAATCCCCATGAAGTACAGTTCTTTGGAACCGATAAAAAAAAAAACTTTGAAGTAATATTTATTCGATAATATCATTTTAATAATGGATTCTATTGTATTAAATTTAGAGAAACAACTTGATAATAGTAGGTATTAGTAATATATAATATAGAAAGTAGATTTTAATATAGAAAATTAACAGCGTTTTTAATATTTTCAAAGAAATTAGACTAAGCCAATTTGTTAGTAATAAATCTGATACACAAAAATATGAAAACCCAAAAGAATGTAAAGACTCACATGACTCTGAACCTAAAAGCCTATTAAGATCTGAATCTAAAAGTCTATTAGAGTCTAAACCTGAAA